GCCGGTGGTATCTTATTCTGTTCCCTTGTTATTTTCCCTTATCATTGTTGTAGTTGATAGTAGCGGTGGTGATTTGTTGCTGGACTGTTCTTGTCTCAACCCGTAGGAGTTGCACTCTCTCGATCCTCCTCCCCGTTCCTCCGGGAGCGGGGAAGGGGAGAGCCCTGGTGCAGGGGGGGGGGGGGGGGGGGAACGGACACGGACCTCGATTGTTGACAGCTCGGCACCACTCACTGGGAGTGAGGGAACAAGTTACCTGCCTGGGTTTAAACCACGACAGTTCTTTTTGGCGCCCAACATGGGGCACGAGGGGTTGAGATAAGAACAGATCTGACTGGATTGATAGTCACTCGTCACAATGCTGATTTATTGGCTCTCAAGGTTGTTCCTCTTGATCTCACAGTTTCAGTATATCATATCTTACGTCCATCCGGTATTGGCTGTATTAGTGTTTTTCAAGTGTGGGGCTTTGGCTAAGGTTTTTGTCCCATTGTACTTTATGGTAATGACTTGTAATACAATAGAATCATTGATCATGAAACTGATCTGGCTTATGTTCCTAGTGTCGTCACCACCTTTATACTTTGGGAGGTATATGATGGAGGTGCTTAGCAATTACACATCTTTTTTCTCCTTCTCAGGTGCTCAACCTGTGAAGGAGACATCCTTTTACCCTCCTAGTCGTCCCCCCAGACCATTTACATTTGAGAGTTTTGAATTTTTTGAATGGCCTTTTAATGCTGTTGAGACTTGTTTGCTGATGGTGATGGGAATCACCATGCTAACAGGCATACAGAGTGTGTTTTGCCCACTGCTGATTTCAAGAGTTAAGCAGAGTCAGGTCTGGGTCTTGTCTGGGGTCAAACGACGATGTAGGAGGACCGAGAGATTTTCCCTGAGGCTGGACAGCCATGAGTGGCAGGGTGTGGGGGATAGTATGGGCAAGTATCTAGGTCAGTGGGCCCCTCCAGTACTTTGGAATTTCACTACCGAACAACTGCAAAATCCAGAAGAATTAGTAAAACACTTAAATGAGGTGTGTGGTCATTCTGGCCATACCAGAGATGGACAAATCACGGCAACATGCTGGGGCTTGGCCTATGCTTACAGGGCCTTGTTCAACACTATCCAGCGCCTTCAAAAGGAAAAGAATGTCGGTGGATCTGAGGGCAAAGCGACAGTCGCTACTCAAACTTTGGCTGCAATGAACAGAGCAGCTACCCCAGCGGCAAGTACAGCAGCTGCTCAAACTTCAACTGCAACAGACAGCGCGGTTAACCCAGCTCCAAGTACAGCAGCTACACCACCCCCAGCAACAAGTACAGTCGCTACTCAAACCACAGTGATAATCACTGCAGCCAAACCAGAGGACCAATTCGTACCAATATCGGTTGCCCCTGTACGCAAGAGAACAAGCAAAAAGGAGGCAAAAAGGGTGAAGTGAGATGAAGAACCAATGAATTCACCACCCGGTCCAGAATCTGATCAGGAGTCATCATCACATGACGAAGAAGAAGAAGAAGAGGTAACTTCTCGACCTCGGACCTCAACCGAGCTGCGGAATATGCGAAAAGATTTTACCCGTCAACCAGGGGAGCACATCATCACCTGGTTACTCCGATGCTGGGACAATGGGGCCGATGGTCACGAACTAGAAGGTACAGAAGCCAAGCAGCTGGGATCACTTGCTAGAGAAGGGGGAATTGACAAAGCAATTGCAAGAGAGAAAAAGTCCCTCAGTCTTTGGAGGCGGCTCTTGGCAGCTGTGAAAGAAAGGTTTCCGTACAAGGACGATGTTACGAGTCGTTCGGCCAAGTGGACTACTATAGACAAAGGCATCCAGTCTCTGAGGGAATCGGCCATCGTAGAGATGCTCTATCACATCAAGCCGAATAAAGGGGATACACCTATAGATCCAGATGAAGTTGAATGTACATGACCCATGTGGCGAAAACTTACACGGAATGCACCGTCATCATATGCCCATTCATTGGCAACAGTAACCTGGAATGACATAGTACCACTAACAGCGGATGAAATGGTTCATAAACTCCGAGAGTTCGAAGACAATCTCACCCCTTCCATCATCTCAGCTGTGAAAAAACTGTCCCAGGACATCGAACAATTGAGGGACAATCTATCTGATTTATCCAGCTCCTCACGTGTACCAACACACGTCTCAGCTATTAACAAAAGGCGTCCTATTGTTCAAGAGAGGAGATACAGAAGGTATACGCCACGGGGTACCCTATGGTTTTACCTGCTGGATCACGGAGAAGACATGACAAAGTGGGATGGAAAACCTACTTCAGCTTTGGAGGAACGGGTGAGTGAACTGAAGAGGGGAGCAAGGGCCAAGACTGATCGTCTCAGGAGAGCTACGGCTACTTGTTTACTGATGGGTCCTGACATATTTTGGGAAAGTGTCGGAGATGGAAGGCAGCTGTATGGAGTCCCATGTGACAAACTGCAGAAACTGCTGAAGGAGAGGGTGAATCAAGTCAGTTTGCAGAGGTGAAAGACAACCAGCTGGCCTTGGACACTGCTGAATGAGAAAAGTGACCAATATTTTATACTGACTCACGGATGGTGGCAAATGCCCTGTGGGGGTGGTTGCAGCAATAGAAGCAAAAACACTGTCAAGGCAGAGGTAAATCCACCTTGGCTGCTGCATTGTGGCAAGATGGGAGTCCTTTTGCTCAAGGACCTGGGTGCACTTGGTGGGTAATGCAGGAGGATGGGGAAGCCTATTATGTGACCCAAGGGGATGTGATTTTGGGTGAGAATAGCCACTGAATTAAACTGTATGCTGTTGACTGCTATATAACACTTTTACGGCAGCTATATGCCTGTTACTACACTGGGCATCTTGTGGTGCCCATGTCCACTGCTCCAGACTTCTGGGCCTGAACCTGACTCCCTTTTGATCGTCACATTAATGAAGACTGAACTTTGATGAAAGTGGATGAGCACAGCAGTGATGGAATCAGACCTGGTTTCAGCAAGCAACAATTCAACACCACACACCATCTCTCCTGCCCTGAAAGACTGTTATGATAAGATGGGACTCAGTACTGGACTGAATGAACTCAGTCTGGTCCATAGACTAAGGGAAAGATATCTGTATTTATATACATATGCCAAGAGACAGAAAAGGTGATGGTATACTGGAAAGTGTGGGATCTGATCATGATGTAAATGGTATGGAATAAGGGGTGGATACTGTCCTGGTTTCCCATGGAATAAATTTTCTGCTTAGTAGCTGGTACAGTGCCATGTTTTGGCTTTAGTCTGAGAATAATGTTGATAACACCCCCATGGTTTTAGTTGTTTCTACATAGTGCTTAATCTAAACCAAGAATTTCTTAGTTTCTTATGTTCTGACAGTGACCAGGTGCACAAGAAGCTGGCAGGGAGCACAGCCAGGACAGCTGACCTGAACTAGCCAAAGGAATATTCCATATCATAGAACATCATGCTCAGTATATAAACTGATTAGGGACAGGTTGGGCATTGGCCAGCTGGTGGTAAGCAATTGTATTCTGCTACACTTGTGTTTTCTGAATTTTTTTTTGTTTGCTTCAGTTACCAGATTTTCTAACTGGAAAGTGAGCCATAAATTTAAATACCTTCATAGTGCTCTTTTTAACTATTCACACAAAGATCCTAGAGAACACAGAAAAGGAAAAGCCTACCCAAAATGTCTTCTTCAGAGCAGTACACAAATTTCTATGGTCATACTAACTTTTTCCTCCTGCCCTCCTTTTACAAGAGAAATGCGTATATCACTTAAATTACTGTGAGTGTTGCAAGCTTGATTATATTTGGTTATAAGAGGAAAGAAAGATTTATTCGAAACTTCAAAGTTATATGCTACTTAAACTCTGAAATCAGCACTACAATTAATCCTTAGCAGGGCAAGCACTTTATATCAGTGAAAAAATCTACTCATATGATTAATTCTCTGGAAGTATACTGAAAGCTCCTTCCATTTCCTTACATCATAACAGTTCTAGCAATAATCTAAAAAGAGCATTTAAATACAACAAGTAAACATGCAACACACAGGGAAATAGAGGCAGTTAAAAAGAAAACAGAAGATAGAAAAGGATTATTGTGCCAATATATTTTCCAGGTTCTTGAAAAAAAGTATTTTGAACTTCTTGAAGTTCTTTTTGAACTTCTTTTGGATATTCCATCAGATTTGAAACTGTTTGGCTTCAAATTTTTGTAAACCAAAGCCTAACAAATAGTGAATTATCAACAACTAGAGAATGTAAATACTGAAATTATTTCAGTTGGGAAGCAAGAAAAAGTATAAGAAGAATGCAAATAGAAATTCAAATGCATATACAACTTCTGGAAGGCCAGACGTATCAGATTTCTAAAACAGCAAGACTTGTGCAAGTTCTTCACATTTATTGCATGGATGCAGTGAGTACAATGACTATAACCATGCCATTTAAGATAAGAATAAAAATCAGAATTCTGTTCATCATAACACTGGAAAATAAGAGTTAAAAAAAGAGCTAAAATTATGATGAGTCATACAATGTTGACTTAACCATTACATAGCCATAGAATTTAGGGAAAACATAATAGGGCACACCTAACTGAAAAAGCATTGTGCTCTGCCACACTGCTAAAGCAGATAACACTTGCAAGAAAAACTACAATTGCTTGTTATAAATCTCAGTTCCCAATATCCAAATGATACAGCCGTCTTAACAGAATTTTGTAGTGGAAATAGCTTTGGACACAGAACAGTAAATTACAGTTTAACAGCTTTCATTAATATGTCTTGAGTTAAGAATAACTCAAATTATCATTCCTTAGCTGCTTTTCATGATTATCTTAACACGAATAAGAACTTCCTGTCACATACATTCAAATAACTATTCTTGTCATTTTCTGCTTAGAAAAGAGCATAAATACCCATCTTGTATCAGGTTTATCATAAGATTCATATGAATTGTCAGTGAAAAAGGTGACAGACTTACATTTTTCCTTACTGCTATTACTGTTATGTAAAAAGTCCCCATCGGATTGCATTGTAGGGAAATCATCTTCATCATCTTCTACCACTAAATGTGAAAGAGAGCATGTTATGGGAGTGAGAAAGCTTTCCCAATTCTTTACTGTGCAAGAAAGAATTCAGACCATGATCTAGGGTGAGGTGTCCCTGCCCATGGCAGACGGGTTGGAACTAGATGATCTTAAGATCCTTTCCAACCCTAACTATTCTATGAAAAGCATCTTCATAGCTAAGCACTATTTAAGATTTTTTCCTATAACAACAGTCATGACACCACCACCCCCCATTTTTTTTAACCTGAAACCACTATCAACATTACTGTCAGAAACCATCAGGAGACTAACATTTGCTCAGTGTCAAAATTTAGCACTGGATCGTAAGAAGAACATTATTTTGGTGTTACAACTGGATAAGCAGGGAGCCGCAACTGAGCAATTATATACTGTTTTACACTAGAAAGTTCTCAAAGTGAAATAGTACTTATCTACTGTTTTCTCACTATCAAAAGTTTCAGGCTGCCAGAAAAAATGCGAGGATGAATATAAATACCTCAAGAGAGGGCCTGAATACAACAAGCTGTGCTCTGAGAAGAACAGAGATATGTAGACATCCACACCTGAGTCTACTAGGACATTACATGCATACTCAATACTCTAGCTGCAGCCAATACATCTCAGGAGCATTCATTATGGCGGAACCTTTGCCTTTTGTAAAGAACATGTTTTTCCTATCAAAACTAATATCCTATTTTTTTCTAAATAAAGTTAAGAGATACAATGTTAAACTAACTTGAATTCATTTTATGGGGTAAACAATTATTGTTCTATAACATCAAATGCTTAAAAAAACATTACTTTTATACAGTTGACAGCTACAGGTTTATATTTAAGTTAAGCAGATTTTTATGGGAATCCAACTTCTGAAGTGAAAATAGTTAACACTGTTGATGCAGAAATATCTATGATTAATCCCATTACTACAGAGTATATTTAAGATATATATTTTATTTATATGGTACCCTATAGTAACTACTGTATTACCACAAAAGTCAGTCGGAGAAACTCTCTAAGACTCAATGTGGAGTTTTAGAAAGCAGCATTCTTTATTGCAATGCTGGGCGCACACATGAATCATTTCACAAAGGTGAGCGCACCCAATACTTGCCAGCAGAATATTTGCATTCTAATTACGCATGTGCTTTCTTGCTGAGTGAGGGTCTCTGGTGGTCACCGATAGTCTTCCTCACTGTGTTTACTGAATGACCTCAGTGCTTGTGCACGCTCACAAGGTCCTAGTGCTGAGTTAGCAATTGGTATGTCCTTGCTTTTGTTCTCCTCCAGTCTCTGTTACTTTGAAGGCTAGCATCCTTGCTCTTATTTGCTGTCTCCTTAGTTGTTATAAGTCCTGTGATGTTCCTTCCCCCATCAACTGAACATTCCTTTCTCTATATATGTTAGCAACTTAGAACAGTTTGCTGTATTTTACTATGTTAGTTTAAAGCCACACACACTACTGTTAGTTTAAACTTATTATTTCAGCCTACAATTGTGTAAAAGTTAAATTCTATAGAGATAAGAGTTTTTAATTACAGTTTTACCTTTATCCCTCTGAAGTTCATCTTTGCAAACTGCATCTGCACAGGTATCAAAGTATTTCTGTAAAGTATCAACTTGTCTACACAAGATGTCCCTAAAGGTTTCCGTTTCTGCAAGCTTCTCACGTAAGCTATGGCCCTTCTGAAAATGCAAGAGAAAAAAGGCTCAAATGCTTGTACATACTCAGCAATAATTCAATGCAAAAAAAATAAAAATAAAATTCTGCAGTTATGAAGAAAAACTTCAAGTACACTAAAGACATTTGACATATCAACAGATATAAAATACTGTTAATGACAGAAAATATGAAACTGTATAAGTGTTTCTTACTCATTTTAACCACTGATCACTGATCTCAGCTTTTCCTCTTGACTGCATCTGCTAATTTAGAGCATTCAATAAACGCTTATTAAAAACATGATCTTGCATGCTACCAGGTTTACGCCTATTTGCCTGAAAACAGTCAGTTCTATTTTAAGATCTTTGTTCTAATCTTTACTCCCCCCTTTCTTGTGCTGCTCCTCTTCTGCTCTTCTAAAAGTACAGCCCACCCAAATTCAAATATTAAATATTTATACACATGAAACAAGGAAAGACATCATTTGTCAATCAATAAAATCACAGAATCACCATTTCCTTTCATTTAGAAGCCCTGATAGTCTCAAAAGTATGCTAGGAAATGTTAATATATCCTCCTACAGGTTTGATTTTCTTGACATTTGAAAATGACACCATAGTTTAACATGGACAACTGCACGGAGGCATGAAAAAGCTTCCTGTACGATGTGTTCATTATCACATGCTAATTACTAACACTTAATAAACCAAAGATATGGTGGGTGTTTTTTTCCTACAATTGTGTGAATAAGTCTTCACATAGCTTATTTCCTTTCCACTTGTGTGTGTTATTTACACACCAATACTAAGAAAATGTTAGTCACTAACCTTGAATGAAGAGGTGGACGTTGCAGAGTATCCACTTGCTCCAGAAACAAGAGACACCATGGAGCCATGGCATCGTAAACTTGACTCTGATCCATTGCCAGATACAGTCTAAAAACCAAACCACACACACAAAACTAGAGTTCTGAGGCTCTTAATAAAAGAAATCATGAAACCAAGTTTAACGTCATCTCTAAAACTAGCCCTTAATTTGTTTCTTGTCAGGAAGCAGCAGGGGCTTAACAACTCAGACTGTGTCTGCAAGTTCAAGATGTTGATGTAGCATCTGTAAAGTTACTATGAATAAAACAAGGTGAAATACTGAAACCAAGAGGAAGAAGACAATAATAGTACCTAATTAAATAGTAAAAAAAAAATGAAAAAAATCTCAAAAATTAAAATAGCATGAAAAAGACCTAAGAATGTTAAGCTTAACAAGTGAAACAAGGATACTGAGGAACTGTAAGAAAACTTTTTCCTCAAAGGTTCAAGTAAAATAGCCCGTGCATGGCAAAGGACAAGAAAAACCCTGAAATAGAACATAAGATGGTACTAGAAAATCACATTCCCTAACTATTGTACGAATTAGTCTTTATAGTATGAAATCAACTTTCTAAGAATATATAGTTTACATTGCATACTGTATAGTCATGGTTAAGCAAACATGACTAAATGTTGACGCGGGAGTCACGGACAAAGCAGAGACGATCAATGTGATCAAGCGATTGCCAAATTTATTACAAAACCTTAACTCCTTATATACTATTTCTTACATGCACTTACAGTGATTTGGCATATTATGATTGGATACATGTCTTGAAGACCCTTAGTGACTAACATATAATTGGTTGTTAAGCACAGGTGTGAGAACTTGACTTCAAAAGCTTGCCAACAGTCCACAGTTCTCATTACCTCAGTGAATTCCAGCTTCTTCTTATCTTGCTTGCTTAAGCTTCCTCGGGCCTCTCATGGCATTGCTGAATCTTTCAGGATTATTCAGAGTTTATGTACCAATTATTCATTCTCCTGTGAGAAGACTGTCTCCACAACTAAAGCACCCCAGCTCACTTCAAGGACATTCACCACCCTAAAAGATAAAGTATACCCCCAGACTATCAAGATAACACTAGCATCCTAGCACCTCTAACACCTCTATGAAACCATCCATTACGACATCACAGACAAGTAACTCTAGCAAGACTGAATTGAGAGACATACAGATCAAGAAAAAAAAGCAGAAAACGATGCCATAGAATAATAGTTGCTTTGCAAAACAGAACTATGTGTGTGTGTCCTGGTTTCTATGGGATAGAGTTAATTTTCTTCCTAGTAGCTGCTGCAGTGCTGTCTTTTGGCTTTGGTCTGAGAATAATGCTGATAACACACCAATGGTTTAGTTGTAGCTCAGTAGCACTTATCCTGATCAAGGACTTTTCAGTGTCTCATGTTCTGCCAGTGAGGAGGAGCACAGGAAGCCAGGAGGAAGCAGAGACAGGACACTTGACCCAAACTAGCCAAAGGGGTATTCCATCCCACAGCACATTATGCCCAGTATATAAACTGGGGGGTGTTGCCCAGAAGGCGCAGATTGCTGCGCAGGTCGGGCTGAGTATCGGTCGGTGGGGGGTGAGCAATTGCATTGGGCATCACTTGTGTTTATTGCTTTTTTCATTTTCCCCTTTTTAGTTTTATATTATCTCTTCTTCTTATTTCCCTTATCATTATTATTATTGGTGATAGCAGTAGTATTGTATTATACCTTAGCTAGGTATAGGGAGGGAGGGAGCGAGTGACTGCGTGGTTCTGAGTTACTGGCTGAGTTACGACAACAGCATATTTGACCAGGGCATATCAAAACAATTGTTATAAGCATTCACTGTATTGGTTTCATAGACACTAGTTACTTTCTTGACTTACTTGCTTTCAGAGTTGTTGTTCTTTTTCTCAAGGTTATATTATGTCACACCTTACTTGCACTATGTGTGCTCTGCGGCCTAGGGTTAAATTATCACTCTCTTGTACTTTGTAACACTGACTTATGATATCATAGGATCACTGATTGTGGAACTGTGGAACTGTGGAACTCAGCATTTCCTTCCTTCGGGAGGCACGTAATGGGAACTATTAATAATTAGACCTTTTGCATTTTCTCCTTGGAGGGCCAATCTATGGTGGAGCCTCCCACAGCTTCCTCCCATATCTTCTTCAGGCTATTCACAATGGCGTTTGAAAATTTTGAAACTTTTAATATCCCTGTGATCCAACATGGCCCTATTACTAGGAACCAGCATTTTGTTGAATATCCTTCAGGTCTTGGTTAAAGTTAAGCAACTATTTAAAATAACACCAAGAGATCTTCCCTGAGGATGAACAGCTATGAGTGGCAGGGTGTGTGGGATAGTATGGGCAAGTATCTAGGCCAGTGAGCCCCTCCAGTACTTTGGAACTTCAACACTGAACAAGTGCAAAATCCAGAAAAACTCGTGAAATATTTAGAAAAGGTATGCTGTCATCCTGGCAATACCAGAGAGGAACAAATCACTTCAAAATGCTGGGGTCTCACCCATGCTAACAGAGCCCTGCTCAACAATATTCAGTACCCTCAAGGGGAAAAGAAGGTCTCAAGATCTGATGGCAAAACAACAGACACTGCAGCTACTCCAACCCCAGCAACAAGCAGCGGGGCTAAACCAAAGAACCGACCTGTACTAGAACAAGTCGAAGAAATGGCAAGAAGAAATGGACATGAATGTCAGCTAGTTTACTGAAGGAAGACAAAGCAAGGCCAGCACAACAAAAGAGGAAGAAGCAGAACAAGAACTGCCAGGGAAGAGGGGAAGCCAGGAGGAAGCAGACAGGACACCTGACCCAAAGAAGCCAAAGAGGTATCCCATACCAAAGAACATCATGCCCAGTATATAAACTGGGGGGAGTTACTCAGAAGGCTCTGATCGCTGCTCGGGCCTGGCCAGGTATTGGTTGGCAGGTGGTGAGCAATTGTATTCTCTCCCCTTATTATTTCCCTTATCATTATTATTTTTCGTGGTATCAGTAGTGGTTTTATATTATACTTTAGTTACTGGACTGTTCTTATCTTAACCTCTGGGAGTTACATTCTTTTGATTCTCCTCCCCATCCCTCCAGGAGCGGGGGGGGGGGGGGGGAAGGGAGGGGGGGGGGAGGGTGAGCGAGCAGCTTTGTGGTTCAGATTTAACAGCTGGGCTTAAACCAAAACAGTTCTTTGTGGTGCTGAACGTGGAGCTCGAAGGGTTGAGACAATGACAGATCTGACCAGAGTGTATTTGTGATGTGCATTCACTGTTTCGGATTAACAGACACTCATCACAATGCTGATTCCATCCCAACACACCCAATCACTTGCCAGCATAAATGCTCGGAGAGATGTAGAGGCATTTCAGCCACTTCAGCCAAAGAGCTGGCTTCAGTTGGAGCTGAGCTCAGATGCCTCTATAAAAACAACCGCAGTACAGGGAATAAAAAAGAGGAAATAGAGATGTGTGCATGTCTACAGGGGTATGATATAATAAGCATCACAGAAACATGGTGGGATACCTCCTATGACTGGAGTGTTGGAATGAAAGGTTACAGGCTCTTTAGGAAAGACAGTCCAGCAGACGAGGGGGGAAGTTGCTATTTATGTCAGTGATAGGCTGGAGAGTATGGAACTCTGCCTGGGGACAGGAGATCAGTTAAGAGAGAGTTTGTGGGTCACGGTCAAAGGGAGAACAGCTATAGAGGACATAAATGTGGGGACATGTTACAGACCACCTGATCAAGAAGATTCTGTGGATGAACAGCTCTATAGACAGAAAGGAACAGCCTCATGCTCGCAGGCCCTTGTCCTGATGAGAGACTTCAACCACCCTGATATCTGTTGGAGGGACAGTATGGCACAGAACAACCAATCCAGGACGTTCCTCAGTTGTGTGGTGGACAAATTCCTCCTGCAAGTAACAGAGAGGAGCCAACAAGGTGAGGTGCCATGCTTGACCTCATGCCCACCAAAAGGGAGGGGCTGGATGGAAATGTGACACTCCAAGGCAGCCTTGGCTGTAGCGATCACGAGATGGTCAAGTTCGAGATCTTCAGGGCAGTGAGAAGGGCACACAGCAAGCTCACTGCCTTGGACTTCAAGAGAGCAGACTTTGGCCTCTTCAGGAACCTGCTCAGTAAGGTTCCATGGGATATAGCCCTAGAGGGAAAGAAGGCCCAAGGCTGTTGGTTGATATTCAAGGATCACCTGCTACAAGCTCAGGAGTGTTGCATCCCGACATGCTAGAACTTCAATAGGAACTGGAGAAAAAAGGCAGACAAGTGGGATACCACAACTGATATTGCAAACACATTTTTTCTCAGTATCTTTGGCAGCAGAGTGAAGGCCACAGTTCGCTTTTACTTGGAGAGGCCTACAGTACACTTGGAACTGACTGCTCCAGGGGTAGAATCATAACCCTGCCATCTGCCATGGACTGATCCAGACTGCACTGGAACAGGGGCAAGCTCCAGAACACCTGCAATACATCGATGACATTACAGTATTGGGCGATACGGCAGAAGATGTTTTTGAGAAAGGGAGGAAAATAATCCAAATCCTTCTGAAGGCCGGTTTTGCCATAAAATGGAATAAGGTCAAGGGACCTGCACAGGAGATTCAATTTTTGAAAATAAAGCGGCACAATGGACAGTGCCAGATCCCCACAGATGTGATTAACAAGATAACAGCAATGTCTCCACCAACTAATAAGAAAGAAACACAAGCTTTCTTGGGTGTTGTGGGACTCTGGAGAACACACATCCCAAATTACAGTTTGATTGTAAGCCCTATCACATGACCCAGAAGAATTATTTCAAATGGGATGCTGAGTAACAGTAAGCCTTTGAACAAATTAAACAAGAGAGAGTTCATGCAGTAGCCCTTGGATCAGTCTGGACATGAAAATTGTGCTCTGCACCACAGCCACGGAGAATGCTCCTACCTGGACCCTCTGGCAGAAAGCTCCAGGGGAGACTTCAGGCCAGCTATACCCCAACTGAAAAAAAAACATGATGGCAGCCTTTGATGGGGTTCAAGCTGCTTTAGAAGTGATTGG